TCTTTTTAAGAAATCGTTATTAAATCGTAAATTTTAAGTGAAAAAGTTTTTTGCCATTCATAATTGAAATATTGAACTACTCATTTTTGAAGATTTTGAGGAAATATTCCATTTGGGAAAAATTTTCAGCCGATTCGTTTAAGTGGATTAAAAGTGGGCTATAATTATGATAAGCACTGTATTATAGACATATATAAAAGTACTTACCGAAATGCTAATGATAGCTTACTCTCCAGAAATCGTATCATTGAGTTGATGAATGTCGCAGGTATTGCAATGCCAAACCATTTTAGTAAAACGAGTGCAAACTGTTTGACATCTTTGCGGACGATAAACTTTACGATTGCTCCTTCTAATGCTGCCACATATATACTAAGGAATGTCCGGGAGATGAGACACAATGTATGAACAGTTAGAAGCCCAGTCTCATAGCATAACTTTTGCGGTATCATTATCCTAACCAGCATGCCGAGTTGCTTCAGAAACTCCTTGTTTAAGCCCGGTTCAAGTAATTGCTTATTTTTCTGTTTCAATTGCTTCTCGACCAGCAGTTTCTCTGCCTCGGCGAGCTTAAATTCTTCGTCCATCCCATATATCTCTGCCGGTGTAAGTGCACCCGCATTTTCACTTTTGTGTTTAATGCATGGGGCATTTCGGATATATGGTACAGTTACCTTAATGGTTAATGCAAATAAGGCAGTACCCACTAGGGCATAACTGAATGCTTGCTTTGGCAGTCTAGATTGCTCATATTTTTCCGTTAAACGGCCAACATATTTTGAAAACACTGTCATATCTATATGTAAATCTAGTCGTAGAATAGACAGGTATATATGTTTACGTTTACAAAATTAAAAAAATTTCACTGAAATTATACAAACTAGCATTTTAGTATATTGCAAAAGTGAATAAGTATATTGGTTTACAAATGATCCCGATCTATCCATTAGGGGCTTAGCCAATCGGAAAATGCGTTTTCCAGTAAGCCAATGATCACATTAATTGAATGGCTCGAATGTTTTAATTGGGATATGTACAGTGCCGCTAACTTGAATAGTTTTAACGTTTTTATGCCTTTAACCCATTGAAATAGGAAATCAGGGTATAATGGTTTTGTTGAAATGTATGTAACAGTCAGAAGGAGGCGTGGCAGACCCCACAAAGTATATACAATATATTCTTGATCAAGGCGACGAACTGAGTCGATTTAGCCCTATCCGTCTGTCTGTCCGTCCGTCCGTCTGTATGTATGAACGCGTCGATTTAAGAAGATATAGGAGCTAGAGACTTCAATTTTTTTAAATGTCCGTATATATAACTCAATATTTTGTCCCGTTATTTTTTTGTATCGATAAAAATCTTATCGAAAGTAAGTTATAAAATTATATCTCCTACACCTTTAGAGCTAGATGTACATTAATATGTAATTTATAGAATTTCGATTTTTTTTTATAATTCACCCCCAACCCTTTTATCCTCCCCCTCACCATAAAAAGCGTATTTCAAATACAGGTATATCTCGTATAACGCGATAGTTACGTTCCAGAAGAATTGCGCGCTATGTAAATCCGCGTTATCTGAAACATAGTTTTCCTATAAATTTGGGGGTTAGGTTCCCATAGGTTTTTTTTTTTTCAACAGCTGAAATTTTGTATGAAGGTCCGCGTCGACCACCCAGGATTACGAGCTATGGGCGATATATCTCCGCGTCTTGGGGCGTGGTAAATCGGATAAAACTGTATCTCCTAAAAATGTAAGTCTAGAATACTGAAATTTTGCACGTGAGCTGATGTTTCGAATCTATAAAGATGGGTGGAATAATTTTATATCTACGCTTACTAGGGGCGGAAAAATATAGTGATTTTTCCAATTCTGCTATATTTTAGGCACTATTAATGCTAGAGACCAGAAATTTGGCATATTTACGCAGGTTGACCACCCAAGTCTAACGAGCTATGGTAGACATATGTCCGCCCATAGGGGGCGTGGCAAACAACAAAAGTTTATATCTCCTACAGTTTAAGAGTTAGAAGCTTCAAATTTGAGTTACTGGTAGCCTCCTCTATCGATGCCTTAAAAATAATGTTAGCTCGTCTTTAGGGGCGAGGCATATCGAAAAATACCCTGCAATTTTCACATTTTTTTTGCGTAAGAATTCAAATTTTGCATTTAGGTTACCGGTTGCTTGTGCTAAGAACTGGTCAAATATTAGGAGCCTTGTCATAACTGATTAACTTTTGTATAAAACAAAATTTATTTCAATAAAATATGAGTATTCTTTGATGAGATATAATACTTTTCATTCTTAAAAAGTCAAAAATTGCATGTCTTTACTCTCATATCTACTGCGATCTCGGAGCTCATACGAACACATGGCAACATGGCCATATTGACTTAGCTCGCCGCCTTGATATGCATGCTATATAGCGTTTTCCACAGATTCTGCTATATTTTGAGCACTATTAGTGCTAGAGAATATATATTCGGGTTGAAAGCTCAAAATCAATAATTTATGACGTATAT